ATGCATATTGTGGTGTTTTATTTCATATTTGGTGAGATAATAACTTTTTTGCCATGTGTAGTGCAGCCATCTGCTTAATTTCAACATGTACATTTCTACACAGGTTTTTAGTTACATTAACAACATTTCTTGTGTATTTGCTCTCAGTTTCACAGAGTTGTTGGGAAAAACCCTGTAAGAAAGCAAGCTGATAAAGACAATCGAGTAAACAGCCCTCAACTTTACTTACACATCTGACTTATCATTTCACCTTTTTAGTACCTAATAAATCTGTTTTGTGATCTGTCACTTCGTGTAGAGCCACACATGCAGGGGACAGAATAAATATAAATGTACTGGTGGTTCCAATTTAAAAGCAGCATATATATTTATATATATATATCTTAACTTCCTGCACTGCAGTATGTGTAAAAAATAATAATTGCTTGCAGTATTATTTATCCCTTCAATTTATTTTTCTATTAACCTGATGTAGAGAAGTACTGAAGTGACCATGAATCATTGTTTTACACCAAGTAAGGAAGTATTTTATGTTTTATGGCTGAGCGAATATATATTTGTTGTGTATAAAAAAAAGAAAATCAGACAAAAGAAAAACATACAGCATGTTATCCTACATTGTAATATCACTACTTTTTGAGAAGATGTCAAAACTCCCTATAAGACCTCTTAGGGGGTAGTGCTGCAGTCAACAGTCAACACCTATCACATAGACATCTATTATATTTAACCAGCTGGACCCTACACAAAAGCACTGAAGGACTCAAGGGTGGGCAGATGGGATCCCCCCATTTTTGAAAAATACTGCCACAAAAATGCCTTCTTGGATGTCCCTACACTAAAAAAGTAAAGCAAAAGCATTGGTTAAACATAAAAAATTGAAGTGATCGATCACAAACTATTTGACATTGACTCAATGTAAATCATTTAGTCATTTTAACCAATATTTTTAAACCCGGTGTAAACTATTTTCTGTATTATTGAGCAAACCACTTATTTCAAGTTATCTTAATTTAAAAAACGGAATTGTCCACTTAAACTCCATGTAAACCTTTTTTGAGGTTTGTATCGAATAATTTGCTGTAAATACATGAGTGGTAAAGAGGCCCTTACTACGCCGCACCATAAATGCATCACAACTTTCTGCATGCAGGTGCCATTTTTTATCTTTTTCGCCCCTAACAGCCACTGAGCAAAGGTAATGTAATTTAAACATAATGACTTTTGAGACATGTCATCAAAACCAATCATGCATTTCTCATTAAATTAAGAAAAGTCATGAAATGTTAAAGCAATAAAATAATGTTCAAAAGGGTCTGGGAAAATTAGGGTTAAGGGTACAAATTGCATTCATCCTAATAAAGATTAATATATCTCCTCCTTTCGATCTATATATCATTGCCACATAAGTTTGTCACAACATATTCCCATACATTTATTTATCATCATACCTCAGATTTGACTTCCAATAAACATACACAGATATTTCTCCACTGCAAAAAGGAATTAGATTTTTGCATTTGCCAGCTGTATTGTTCTTTACATGCTAAAAAGTAGAAAACTTGAGCGATTATCCTCTCCTCAACTCCCAGTTTTTCTTTGCCCCATCAAACGGATCAGAATCTGCCTTAGCATATGAAGAAAAAATAGAATTTAAAAAAGCAGAAATAGTCTTTTTTTTGTGGCGTGGTCACTTTTGGTCCCATAATTTCTGCAGTGGCTGACAAGAGATGTCACGCTTCTGAGAATAACTGCAGAAAATCAGCATAATGTACCTTCAGGGGGAGGCAGGTTGTTCATCGGTGACTCAGAGATTATCTGACCAGACTTTCTGAACTCCCCTCTAGCCATCATGAGCTCTGTACTAACACAAAGCTTCTTTTGAGAAAAGCTTCTAATAATTGTGGACATGTTTCTTCATGGCTCTGATTCGCCTGAATTTCTTTCCCCTGCATATAATAAACCAGCAACTGCATTCAAAGCTCTGACCCGTGACCTCCTTATGTTCAATTTAACAAATCAGTTAGCTTGGGTGTTTTTCATAGTAGCAGTAGTAGTGTTTTCCTGTTTTTTGTTCTATTTTAAATGCCATTAAAAGGCTGTGATTGTCACCTAAATAACTGTAATAAAACACTTTCTGCTTTGTTTCAAATGCAAACAACTTAAATCTCCCCTCAAATGGTTTGCTGTGTTTTTCAAACCTGTCTGGCTGATTATTTGACTGATTCTTTGCCTACTTTTCCTCAGAGGTCTGTAATGAAGCACGTATTAACCAGCTTATCAGCTGTGATTGCTCTCTGCATTAATATTAAAACTCTGCTTTCACACTAATTCCTTATTAATGACTTTAACTTTCTAAAGACAAAACCAAAATACAATGAGGGTGGGTGGTGGCAACCTCTTTTGTTGTGGACCTGGTCTTTATTAACAGCCTTAACAGTTCTTTTATATTTTATACTTTAATACAGAAGCTTTGCACTAACTTACTTCTAATTCTTAACTAGGGCTGCAAAATTAATCAATATTATTGATGCAATATGGCCAAGTGCAATATGTAAATCACAATAAGCTATACTTTTTTGATAAAGGTCAAATGTGTCAAAACAGCATTATAACGAAGTACTGTAGTGCTGCAGAGATTACTGGGCCTACAAATCTTGTGAATCATATCACAATTGCAGTATTTGTCAAAATAATCTCAATATGATTTTTTTTTCACCATATCGTGCAGCCCTACTACTAACCTTGTTGCAAAACTAATCAGCATTTTGAAGGACAGTGCCCATTTTCCAAAAATACCACAGTTTTTAGTCAGATTTCCTTCCTTTGGCCTGACGCTGATTTCACTTAAAGGTCCAGTGTGCAACATTTAGGATGATCTATAGGCAGAAATTAGCTAGAATATGCATAACTGTTTTTATTAGTGTATCATCAACTGAAAATAAGAATTGTTGTTTTCATTACCTCAGAATGAGCTGTTCTAACTACAGACGCCATGGGTGGCCTTACGTTGAAGCCACTATGTTAAACAGCCATGTTTCTACAGTAGCCCAGAGGGGACAAATCAAACACTAGTGCATTTTGCGGCCTCTGTAGTTTCTCCTTCACGCTTGAAAGGGGAGGGTCAAGTGACCGAGTTTAAACCGCTAGATGCCACTAAATCCTGAATACAGGACATTTTCAATTCATAAACTATGAACATTAGGTTTGATATTTGTACAAAATAGGTAAATTGTCAGTTAAAGCTGCAGTAGGTCATTTTAATTAAAATATGTATGTGGTAGTTGCTGAAACTTTCACTATATCCTGACAGTAGTACATGAGACAGATAAATTGTGAAAAAATCATGTTCCTCTAGCTCCTCCTAGTGCTCCTAATGGGAATAAGACTATCAGGCCCGTTCTATTAGGAACGAAATTCTATTAGGAGCACTAGGAGGAGCCAGAGGAACTTGATTTCTTTCACAGATTATCTGTCTCATGTTCTACTGTCAGGATATAGAGAAAGCTTAAGCAAATATGATATAAGATGTTATATGATTATAATAATATATAATAACATTCAGTCACCCTTAATTGTTGGGTAAGTTTACATTCAAGTGTACTGCAACACCTGAGTATTGGCAACCAAACTGATTGCACTGTTGAAATAAAACTGAATTCAGAAGAACACGTGCAGAGAATAATTTGAATTTGAATTTGTTGGTGCAGCAGCAATCATATCTCAATTCTCATATACTAGATGAGAATGCACCACCTGGGACAATTTCTGCAAATCAGGACATCAATGTTAAACACTAAATATGGATATTACCTGGTCACCCTGAGTTTCTGCCAATTTCATTTTCATATGTACTGGAATTAATGGATTCAGTGACCTTCCCTCTAGAAAGCAGAGGACCTCTCTGTAAATTATTGCGTGGTGCTTTGATAAATAGCTGTCTGTAATTTGAAATGTAGGCAATTTGGAGTAAAGAGGATAAAAGGAAGTCAAAATTCTGGCATTGTCATTTTGAAGGTGCTCCTAACATTAAAGTTTCCTTCACAGAAGAAAAGGGTTGGTTTGTATATTTTGGCAGCTCTGTCCCATTAAAGGTTCCCCCAGCACATATTTTGTTCCTCCCTAAATCCTCAACATCCGCTTGTGTCAGACATCGAACTTACTCACAACACTTCACCTTCATTCATTTTTCATTGATGATTCATATTTTATATTTACATACAGTGCAGATACTGAATAATTGAAACATTTAATGGTTCAGTGTAATAAATTGGGTTTAATGTCTGACAAAGCTGTTTTGTTTTCCTAAAAATCATAATTTTATCTCCAACCTTCAGGGGTGGATCTAGAGAATATGGAGACTTTAATGAGTGGCAGAAAGGGTATATATATATATATATATATAATACAAAAAGAATCACATCCTTGGAAAAGTCCTTAAATTAATGTATTTTAAGTCTTTACATTAATAATTATAATGTAAATCACATTATGGCACATTTATAAAGCATTGAATAGAAATATCTAAAGGTCATTAGAAACCTACAAATCATTCCAAATACGTCTTTTTTTATTGAACATAAGCCTTTAACTTAGATAAAAGTATGGAGATAACAGATCATTAAACCATATGCAATAATTTCAATTTTTAAAATGGTATTTTTATAATTCATCCAAATTAATTTGACAGCTCTAATATAGCCGATACATACAATATGGGGTGGCAAGGAATTTTTTAGGGGTGGCACCCCATACCACCCCTCTAGATCCACCCCTGCCAACTTTACTGTATCAAGTATGTCTAAAACTAAATCTGCTTTCATACGTGTAAACACAAAAATTAAACAGAACAATCCAGCAGCCACATCAATAAATACATTTTATCTGAAGGTTACGGCTATACCGTCTCTCTCATGGGGTTCTCCAGATTTTGAAAGGTTGGTTATAAGTCCTCCATCATTTCAAATTAATCGAAACATTGTGGAGAATTACAGCTGAATTTAAGTTTATGCTTTTATTTTGAAGGCAACCCAGCCTAACTTCCTGTCTGATTATGTCGGTCAGTTCAGTACAGTTTCTGTCCTATCCATCCTGGAGGACTTGTCCTGGTATTAGAGCTTCACTCTCTGGCCCCGCTGCTGAGGTGAACGGCGTGATCGTTTCCAAGGAGATTTCCGGGTCATCCTCAAGCTGGACGGTGGCAGGAAGCAGCAGCAGTCTGTTGTCGCTCCGGGAACCATAGGAGATCATCGACTCTTCATCAAACTGAGCACTCATGTCCTCCAGGTGGTCGGAACTGACGTTAATGGTGCGGGGATGCTGCTGCGGCTGCACCGGGACTAACGCCTCCTTGTGTAGTGTCGTGTCGTGGTGGTAAGAAACAAGCTCGTCACTGAAGTTCACCGCTTCCACCGTGTTGTTTGAGCAGATTTGGTTGCAGCCCAGAATGGTGGCGAAGGCCCGACGGAAGTCTGCGTTGAATGCGTAGATGACAGGATTGAGGGAGGAGTTGGCCCAGCCGAACCAGACGAAGACGGTGAAGGTGGTGTCGCTGACACAGGGTGGGTCACAGAACGGGACCGTGCAGTTGAGGACGAAGAACGGCAGCCAGCAGAAGACAAACACCCCCATGATAATGGAGAGTGTCTTTAGGACTTTGGTTTCCTTCTTAAATGACGACTTCAATGAGGCTTCATCGTTGGGTCTGTGCTGCTGATGCTGGTTCCGGTTCACACCATGGCCTTGGTTCTGAGCCTGCTCTGCCGCCCTCTCCAAGGACGTGATCCTACGGATCTGGGTCTGAGCAATCCTGTAGATCCGGGTGTAGGTGGCGATCATGATCACCACCGGGATGTAGAAGCTGATGAAGGAGGAGGAGATGGCGTAGGTTTTGTTCAGGTTGGCAACGCAGCTCTTGGCGACAGCGCTGGTGTTGAAGTTGCTGCTGTTCGTGAAGTTCCTGATGCTGGAGGCCATCATCTCCAACACCTCCTCCTTCACCTCTTCTTCTGCCTCCTCCCCCGCCTGGTGCCAGTTGAGCTGAACTGGGATGAAGGAGATCAGGATCGACAGCGTCCACGCCACCCCGATCATGACAAACGCAACCCGGTGAGTCATCTTCCGCTCATACTTGAATGGGCTGGCAATGGCCCAGTACCGGTCCACGCTAATTATGCACAGATTCAAGATGGAGGCCGTGGAGCACATGATGTCAAAGGCGATCCAGACCCCGCAAAACCGTCCGAACAGCCACGTGCCGGTCACCTCAGTGATGGCCTCCCAGGGCATCACCAGCACGGCCACGAACAGGTCGGACACGGCCAGCGAGATGACGAAGAAGTTGGTGACTTTGGAGCGCAGGTGGCGGAACCTGACCACGGCGGCGCACACCAGCGTGTTCCCGAGCAGCGTGGACACGATGAGCAGGAAGAGGACGCAGCCGACAAGGACGCGCAGTCCGCCGCTCCCTCCACCGCTGCCCTCCTCCTCCTCCTCGTCCTCTTCCTCCTCCTCACCGCTCGTCCCGTCCAGCTCCGACAGAACTTGAGTTAAATTACTCCACGTCGTGTAGTTGTCCATGTTTTCCCCAACAGAAAGAGAGATTAGAACAGGTAATTAATATCCACATGCAAAACTGCTCCTCTTCTTTCCTCCTGGCACAGAAACCATCCTCTGAGCTCTGCGAAGAATAGAAATAGTAAAGAAAAGGCGACTGTCTTCAATAGAATTCCTGTATCTGATGCGTCTTTTTGAAATGAGATCCAACTCCGACAGCTGATGCGCAAATCAGTACCCAGAAAAGCTCTCCGCGAGTATTTATGCTCAGAAATTAAAATAGTAATAAAGATCAAAATTAAATAAATATAAATAAAACAAATAATAATAAATTAAAAGCAGTGATAATAATAAATCCTGCCTAAGTTCGCAGCCTCTACGGGGGGGAAAAAAAGGTCTCTGTCCTGGTCTTTAGTCCCAGTGTGACTCATGGTGGACCTCTCTTGGTGTGACGCGCTCAGACTCACAGTCAGGTGGAAGCCGCTGCGTTACCTCCTTAGCGCGGGTAATAGATTACTGTCATCCAATCCAGTGTAGAGCTCTTAATCAAAAAATCGAAAAGTTCACGTCAGAATTGATCAATGCGAGATTATGCTGAATCACATTTTCTGTCAGAGGAGGAAAAAAGGTCTGGCAACTGATTCTGTGCGTTATTAGCACAAATTGGCTCTCCTGCGTTTCCGTGATGCGTTAAAAGGAGATTTTGACTTATGGTCGTAAAAGCAGGGATCCAAAATGTTGTGCAGTTATTTGCAAGTAACAGTAAGTAACCACACAGCATGCCTTCACTTTAACAGCTAATAACCAGACTGATGACCATATTGGCATTATTGTTGGATCTGCATTAACACAGACAGAAGCAGGGAGTATCACACAGCACTTCATCTTTAAAATGCAGAAATAAACAGCCAGACAGAACAGAATTTATTTTCATAAACAGCTGGCTGCAATATAAACATTTTTTACTTCCTCCTAAATCTTCATCATGATATTCTGTCCTGTGTGCTGGTGTGATCTGATTTTATTTCATATAACAAATAGATTAGAATAATAACAATAAGATGATAGTGTTGGTGCTTGTGCTTTTTTCTTTTCTTTCAGACAATAAGCAAATAAATATGACATGTATGGCTGTGAGCCTCTCTACAAGTTTCATTATAAACATGTCCACATATAAAACTGTCCTTGAGCAAAAAGAATAAAGACATAAATAATGCATTTATTATTTTCACATACACTCAACAAAACCACAGTTCTGGACACACACACTACAGACAGTCCACATCATCATGTCCATCACAGATGAATACAGTCATGCAGAAGCATCACTCATATCCTAGAGCTTAATGGCTGAAGTATATTTAACAATATTATTGTAATGACAAAGACTTATCTCAGTAACAACTAGTTGCACATTCTCATTTAAAAGACCATAAACCAATAATTAATTAAAGTATTCAATAAATGACTAAGAATGGGCAGCTCTTCTTAATACAAAAAACATTTGACCAATCTGAGATCAGTTTCTCTCCCACACCTCTTTGAATGCATGTGCTGCTTGTACCATAATGGTATGGAACCATTAAAGAACATTAAATGCAATGTTCTTATGAACCAAATGCCAGATCATTCTGTAGGTTGTAAGGAGGCCCTCTGCTGGTAGGAGCTGTTTTATTCTAAACTGCTGATCTTCTGTCAGATTAAATTCTCTTTGGGAAGAGCGGCAGGGGCTAATCTAGAGAAATATTCATGGGGTGGCATGGAGGCTTTAAGGGGTGTCAAAAAAACATATGCTGATTTTAATCACAAGCAAATTTTTTTAACATATTCTTAAAATTATTTTAAATGTGTTAAATTTGACAACAAACTGGGGTTGCCATGCCACCTTTCTAGATCCGCCACTAAAGAGTTCAGGCGGGTTTAGAGTGACAGTTATTTCATTTAAGGGAGAGAACATCAGAGAATATTAAAGGACAATTCCGGCGCAAAATGAACCTGGGGGTTAATAACACATGTAGTTGGTCCGTTCTCGAGATATGTTTTTATTCCTAATCGACGGTGACCAGTTGTTTAAAAACCGCGAATTACTGTATAACCGCTAGTCAACGGCACAGAGTAAAGTAAAAGAAAAGATAATTTCTCATACCACTTAAACAAGGCTCAAATACACCACACTTACAACGGTAGCATATAATGAGGGGCCCCTACTTGTAAACCGAAGCATTGAGAACTTTGTATGTGTACAGACAGTTTTAATAAAAGATATTTAGTTTACACAACAGTAGCTCACGTGATACAGGCGGGCGCCATCCTTGGGAAAACAGTCACGTGACCAGTCGAATTTGCTCATATATCTGAATAATGCACCGATGTAAAACATAACTTGTGGTCCAGTTACTTACTCAGTGGATAACTGTCCATCTGGTCAAACAGTACAGCCTTGTTTATCCAGAGAGGGGAAAATCTTCAGACTGTACAAAAACTGCGTTCTTGGGTGTCGAGACGCAACAGGTCCCAGCTCCGTGCAACACAGCACTTCCTCTTCGGTGCCATAGCTTCACAATGTCCGCAGGTACACACCAAGTTTCCCGAAGACAAGGCTGTGTTCGGCATTGACTATCTGGTAGCCTCTCTCTCTCGTAGCCCTTCACGGAGCTCCCAGCTCCTTCGTCTGTAATATTGCCGGCTCGAAAAGATAAGGACGTCCATCAAACCCTGACAGGGTTTGTTGTCGATGTGCTTCAAATTCGGTTGAATAATCCGCCATCTCTTTAGTGTGTATCCTTGTGGAAGCATTAGTTATGTACTAGTAGTTATGTCTCTGTTGCCACTCAGTGGCTTTCTTCTGCAACATACGGTGAGTTGTATCGGAGATGGTGCGTTCAAGTCACATCTCATGAGAGTGCTGGTCACGACTGTTTTCTAAGATGGGCGCCCGCTGTATACGTGAACTACTGTTGTTGTAACTATCTTTTTAATAAACTGTCTGTACACATAAACAAGTTTCTCAATTGCTTCGGTTTACAAGTAGGGCCCCTCATTATGCTACCGTGTAATGTTGGTGCTATTTTAGCTTGTTTAGTGGTATAGAAATAGCTTTCTTTTTCACTTTACTCTGGTTGCCCGTTGACTAGCCGTTTATGGTAATTGCGGTTTGTGCTAAAACTGTCATGTGCGATTAGAATGAAAACATATCCAGGAAGAACGGACCCACCACTCGGTAAACATGTGTTATTACCAGGTTCATTTTGCGCCGGGATTGTCCTTTAATACCTCGGCTGTTTTTCTTGTGGGTCCTTTCTCTTATGAGTAATTCAAATATTATCTGCAATTCAGAAGAGTTTGAAAAGAAGAAAAAATATTTCACAGATTTTAAACGTAAACTGGTTCAATTCAGGTTGATGTATCAAGAATACAATAGTAAAGGTTTTTTTGCCACACAAAGATTTAACACATTGAAGGACAAACAATTATTCCTGGTGACAGTCTTCTATTCATTGTTGCATCTTGTATGAAAGGTTTGGTTTGACATTTGTAACAGTCACTAAAGAAGGACTCAAAAGCTTGGGTGGTTTTGAATCAAAGTTATATTAATTGTCCAATTTAATTTGGGGCTTTGGGGCTTACATTTCTTTAATGATATAAAGTCACTTAAAGAAATTACACAAACTGGAGTTATATCACCAATATGGATTAAACAACTGAATATTATTG